GCAGATCCTATCTAGCCTATCTACAATGCCGCTGGTGACGTCAACAGCTCCCTGAAGTACGAGCAGATCTCAGCCAATGCCGTTCACCTCAAGCACCAGGTACGGCTCACGCATCACTCACAACCTCGATCCCCCACACAGATGCCACGTGCACCCAAGGACCACCATGCGCCCCATACAGCGCCTCGCAGGTGTTGCATACCGTATAGGTGCAGACCAGAACAAGAACCGACCTTTCAAAACAAAGTATAAGATAGCACAGCGGAAGACTTAGGTACTAGTGATCCGAACAATCAATGTTGTAATGCAGCCCTGAAACATACATCATCATCCTCATTTCATAGTGTGAATGGGTCTGGCGCTTCACACAGGAAGACAGCGCCAGCCCAGAACATGCACAGACGAGGAGGAAGGGGATAGACGAAGAGGAGGGGGAAGATGGGAATGTCGTCAACACCAAGTCTTCGGCACAAGCCCAAATAGTCCCTCGTCGAACTGTCTGAATCCCAAATGTCAAGTCTGGATCCAATGTCGTCAAGTCTCAAGTCACAACTCTATCTCTCTCTGTCGTAGTCTGAGAAGTCAGGTGGCGAGAGGGTGAGAAGAGAAAGGTGGACTTAGAGGAGGAAGAAGAAGAGCTCTCTCTCTCTCTGTGTCCAGTACTAACCTGTGAAGTTGGCGCCTTGATGCAGGTACCACGAAGATGGAGCTGGAGCGATGGCGCCACAGGTAAGTAGCACTGGCCTCCGCCAGTCTCTCTCCACTCTACGATCTACTACCTACCAGCGCCCAGCGCTGAAGACTACAGCTACAGCTATGGCGCCCAGCGCCGAAGACTACAGCTAGCGCTACCACTACTGCCTAGCGCTGAAGACTACTGCAGCGCTCCTCCTGAGTGCTGCGGCCGAATCCTGAAGACTACCTCTACCTACTGACACTACCTACCCGTGAAGTGCATGGGATCCTCCTATGTACTACGGGTGTGCCTCTTGAGCCTGCCGAAGGAAGGCTGGGGCTGCAGCTGCAGCTCCTGCTCGAGCACGTGAGGAACAGGCTATTTTGGGCCTGTTCCGCATCCCTGTTTCCGTGCCTGAGTCTTAGGGGCAGGTCGAAACAATGAGGGAAAATGGCCCTCCATTTCAGGCTGAAAACTCTGGGTCTGAAAAGACCCAGAAATAGGCTGAAACGAGGTAGGGCCTGCAGGCCCTCGTTTTTTCAGCATCCAGGCTGAAATGAACGGGGCCTGTAAGCCCTAAGTTTTAGGCTTTTTGGCTGAATGTCCGGGACGGGCCCTGTAGGCCCGTGTGGCTACGCAGTATGCCACACAGGCCAGCTCGTCTATGGCTGCCTGCATGTAACTTGCTCACCCGTGAGCGCGTGGGGCTCACGCATCACTCACAAACTCGATCCCCCACACAGATGCCATGTGCACCCAAGGACCTGTGCGCAGTCCATGCCCCGTGTCTAGCCCAGGGCCTGCCTCAGATGCTCTTGAAAAAGGCAGGCAGGGCCTGGGTTCTCTCAACCAACTGGCGCTGCGCAACTGCCTGAATTTCCCAGTTGCGTGGAAAGCCCGAAATAGGCCTCTCGTCCTTGGTCAGGCCTGCCTTCACTTAGGGCGGCCGATATTGCTGGAAACAGGGCCCAGTAGGGCTCAACGAGGCCTTGAGCCTCGCAAATCAAGGAAAGACAAATGAAAAGTGCAAGTACAGAAAGATACCCCAAGCATAAGACAACAGGCAGCAGGCAGCAGCAAAAGACAATGGGTGGAGGGCAGGGGGGAGGCGGGAGGGCAGACGTCACTCAAACACACAAAGCAGGCAAAGCAAAAAAAATGTATACAAGTCCCCCAAAACAGCTAAGACCCAAAAAAAAATAAAAAACCAATGATGACAAGATTGTTTCGTCAGAGTTGCACCGACTCATCAGGAGGCTGAACCCTCGACAATCTGCGGAGTCTTCGTATTGGATGGTTTGGGTCATGAACTGTTTGACCCTTGTTGAAGGCAGACTATCCCCCAACTGAACACAGCAGCAGGCAGCAACCCTGCGGAGCACCAGGTAGTGCAGTAGAGGCAGCACGGGTGCACAACGCCAAAAACGACTGTAAGGAACGACACGGCGTGCAGGACAAGCGGTGCGGCAAACACGCCTTGAAGCAAGGCAACACCAGCAAGGCAACCACACAGCACGGGATGACAATGCTAGGGGTCGAGTAGCACAACAACCATGCAGTGGAGCACAAGGCAGTACCTACAAGGCAAGTGAACTACAAGGCGCGCAAGCAAAGGACATGGAAGGCACGACCAGCGGATGAGTGGCAAGGCAGCGGAGCAGCGAAGCGCAAGGCAACACCAAAACCACAACCACACCACACAGTGAACACATCAACCTGCAGAGAACCACATGCGAAGCAAGCGGGACAGGCAGCAAGGCAGCGGCAGAGCACAGACAAGGCAGTCCACACATCCAACACAGAGCAAAGCAGCACATGACCTACTCACATCACGATTGAACCCCGCAGACTGTTAATTCCCACCACCCACTGAGCCAGGGAGTCAGTCCGACGAGCATCCGTCATCACCCACAGGCAACACAGAAATCCCGAACCGAGTCGCTCCCCTAAGAGTGCGGTAGGCACTCCAAATGAGGAACCACCGACTGTTTGGCACTACTTAAGGGTGCTCAGTTGGGCACACACAAAAAATACTTAGAAAAGAATCAGAGGGAGGACAGACAACAGAAGAAAGACTGACAGACAAAACTGTGTGTGTGTGTGTGTGTGTGTGTGTGTGTGTGTGTGTGTGTGTGTGTGTGTGTGTGTGTCTATGTTGGTCTGCTTCACAGCAGTTGACGACTGTCTTAGCTCATGTCATTTCTATCTCCACCCAGATTGACCTGAGTGTGTGTGTGTGTGTGTGTGTGTG